TTAACTTTTAATTTATGTTTATTAACAATTATATTTATTAATATTAGTAACATTTAAATTTTATTAATGTTTATTTATAATTAATAACAATAAATAGTAATCATTATAATGAACGTTATAATTGAAAAAAGTGACAATAAGTTACCAAAACGTCACTTCAGTTAGCATTCCAATAAGCTAGTTTATTTGCATCTAAACATATACCTTAAAAATAAATTTGCTTATTTTTGTCAAACAATGTCTAAACCATTATAACATTAGGAACAATAAAATTCTATGTGAATTCGTATTACATTTTCCAAAAATTCGTAGTTTTTTAATTGCATCAAATGTTGATGTATTTGTAAGCCAAAAAATTGAAAATTTTATCTTAAAGGAAAATTAATATAACTACTTACTAAAAAAAATCTAAAACTTACAGAATATTTTATCGTATCAGTAAACTTCACATATTTAGCAATTAGTTTTATGGAATTAAAATTTAAAGCATTAGAAGATGTATATATATAATCATAAATTGTAAAGTTGAGTTTTAAAAAATTACACATTAGCAGACAATAGGAGTTCTAATACATAATAATTTATTTAAAATATATATAATAGGAGTTTTCAATACAAACAATGTAACTATATACAATCATAATGGGTTTCAATTTTTAAAACACCTGATGTTAAAAATCACTTCATTCAATACAATAATTTAAAAGGATGTCGAAATTGAAATTTAACTTGTTTACATATATATATATATATATATATATATATATATATATATATATATATATATATAGACTTGGGATCATATGAGACCAAAGCTTTTTCGTGAGACACTTAAGACCAATTCTCAACCCTTGGATTAGATCTACAATCTCAATATTCATAATCACAAAATTGCCACGAGATTTCTCAATAATTACAAAATTGCCACCGTGCAATTTTAGACCATTAGATCGTTAGCTTATAAAGTTGATCAATGAATATAAATTGGTCTCATGGGTCTCACGAAAAACCTTTGGTCTCATGTGGACCCAAACCTATATATATAGGGGCAGGTTCAAATGAAAACCATGCAATTTTAAGAAACCGTGTGAACCAATTTCGACTAATAGAAAAATTCTATTTTTTTAATTAAATTTAATCAATAAGGGTATTTCGGTCATTTTTCATATTTTTTTGATAAATAAGGAAGTTATTAATAAATATTAAATAAGGAAATTTAATAATGAAAATTATATAAATGGTAATATTTAAAAATTTTATTATATTATAATATTAAAAACTTGATTTTAATTTTTTGTTATTCAATGAATCTGGAAACGTGATATGAAGATTCTAGCTTCTTATGGAATGAAATCTTGATTTGAGGTTAGAGAAAAAAATCATCCATGTTCATGAAACTGTTTCAATGTGAAAAGGTTTCATTGTAAAATGGTTTATTTGCTTCTTTTAGGCATATTTTACATGTTAATGAAATAAGTTCATGATAGTGAAAATGTTGATGCTCTAACTGATTCATGATTCATGATCTAGTTTCATGGTGATCCATGTTGCTTTGTGATTGAAGTTGATCCGTTTAGTTAGTAGGATGAAAATGAAACGAGTGCATAATGTATTTTGTTCTTTATGAAATAAATGTATGATGAAACGGGTGCATATTATATTTTGTTCTTTATGAAATTAATGTTCATGAAACTGTTTTAATGTGAAAAAGTTTCATTATAAAATGGTTTATTTTTGTTTACCAATTTTGCCCTTAGTATTGAAATAAAATAAATTTTTAATATTTTTTATTTTTTAATTTCCTAAAATAAAGTAAACTAATCTTAGCCATTGATCAAGAAAATGGATGAATGAGATTGGTTTACATAGTTTACACAAATGGGGTAAGTTTTTATTTGAACGTTTATCTCTCTCTCTCTCTCTCTCTCTCTCTCTCTCTCTCTATATATATATATATATATATAGGGTTGAGTTCACCCCAAAATTTTTTATGAGACCCGTAAGACAAATTTATATTCATTGATCAACTTTATAAGTCAATAATTTAATGGTCTAAAGTTACACGGTACCAATTTTGTGATTATTGAGAAGTCTCATGGTAATTTTGTGATTATGAATGTTCAGATTGTATATATAATCTAAGGGTTAAGAATTGGTCTTACGGGTCTCACAAAAAACCATTGGTCTCACATGATCCCATATATATATATATATATATATATATATATATATATAATCAACACACATCATTTAAAAATGAAAACCTTTTCAGGTTGAAATTAGTTCAATTTATCATATTTTATTAATTATTTAAAAAAAATGATTTGATGCCTTACATTTGTCCAACGCCTACTTTTTAACGGGTTTAGCGGGCTATCTTGTCAAACACTTTAGGACTTCTTAATAATTTTTCGTGTGCAAAATAATTAAATAATCAGATTGATTAATAGACTATAGTAAAAAATAAAATATAATTATTTAATAATTGTTTATAATAAAATTAAGGTGTTGAATGGTTAAGTAAGACCAAAAATACATAATTGATGTTTCTTATATTATCTAATATCTCATAATACCCACTTAAAGCTCAGTGAGTTCTCTATAATTTCTCTAGAATAAAAAATCAAAAGTTAAAATATCTGAAAAAAATCATTCAGCTCCAACAGATTTTCTATTTTAAATATTTCAACATGAATTATGTTTATTATAATATCCTCTAATTTTATCATCCGGATAAAATTTAAAAAAAAAAACTCATATAAAAAAAATGATAATTCAATCTAATTGGTGGGATTGATTAAAATAATAAATTATATTTATTAAGTTCAAGCCTCTAAATTTATAGTTGTTTTCTTTATTTTAGAGAATCTGTTGGATAAAAAAATCTCATTTTTCTCTATTTCAAACAATCTGTTGTTGCAGATTTTCTAAGGTTGCGTTTGGTACATGGGACAGAATAAGACAGGATGGGACAAAACTCACTGTCCCATGTTTGGCGCAATATGAGACAGAACACGAACTTACTGTCTCACGTTTGGCGCGACATAGGACATGGACAAGAACTAGGACAAGGTGGGACAAAAAAGGTTTTTTCTTGTTCCACCTATAAGACAAGAATGAGACAGAAACTAAAATATTATTAATCTACCCTAGTTTGATATATAACCTCAATATGGTATTTGTTTTAATGGTATCACCGCTAGTTTCGGCCGCTGCCACCACTACTGGCGGTCACATCCACCTCCTCTTCCACTACAACATCTTCCACCGCCTCCACAACCACCGTCCACCAAGTCCATTGCCACATCTACCATAGTCGACCACCACCATCCATTGCCACCACCGTTTGCCACCTTCAACTCCTCCTCTACTGCAACAACCTCCTCCACGACCACCATTCATTGCCACCTCACCTCCACCATAACCACCACCACCACTATCTTCACTACATCAACCACAACTACCTTCTCCACCGTTGTCAACCGTCACCACCACCACAATCTACCATCTTCATGTCCTCTATAACAACCGTCATCCACCAAACAACACTGCCTATACCACCATAACCACCGCCGATTGCCACTAATACCGTCGGCCACCACCACCTCCACCGTAACCAAAACCACCACCACTACCACTACTACCATCAATTATATCAAAATTTTCATTCAAATATAGTACAAATATGAAAATTATGTACAAATATTTATAAATTAAATTATTTAATTATTTACTTTATTTGTGTTAATTATAACTATAAAATCATCAAATAACTTTTGGGAGTAACTTGTCTAGTTCTGTCACGCAGTCCTAGTCCTACTCCTACTCCTACCAAACACCAGACATACTCCTGATATGTCAAGTCCTGTCCAATTATGTCTGCGTACCAAACGCTACCTAATAAACACTTGAATGCCATTACAATGAAGATTCGCAGGAACAAGCATTACCAAGTCGATCAAGAACAGAAATAAAGAATGTGCTGCTGCTATCTTAAATGAATCATTATTGACCAATTTTTACAAGAAAAAAACACTTTGTTTTTGTCACTTTTATACACCCACAAAACCAAAAACTCAGAATTACAACCCACCTAACTACAACTTCTACTGCGAAATCCATCCACACTTAGACAAGTCGGCAAGTTTGTGTTTTGAACTGGTTGTTGGACCAGTAAGCATGGGCTTCCAACACCCGGTCAAGGAGCTCCTGAGGCACTGGCTCACCTCTCCTTTGCTGCGGTGATATTCTCGCCGTGTGCACCAGGGTTTTCCACTTATCCTTCAAATCCACGTACGTTCGATGCTTTGCATCATCAAAAGCTCGTAATTTAACATCACGCCATCTGAAACATCACAACAGTTGGAATAATTTACTTCAAACAAGAATGTGTTTAACAAGTATCCCATGGATCCCATCCGGCATACCTTCCTGTTCCAAGCTTCTCAACGGCTTCAACCAGCGCTTCCACTTCGGAAACAGAGAAAGGACGACGAATCCTGCGTTGTGCAACCTCCGCTTGTTTTGATTTACTTACAGGGTTGTCGATGATGGCTGGAACTGTTACTAATGCCCTTGAATCACAACCACTTCTATTGTCATCATCACTTTCAGTTATCTTCCCAGAATTTGTCATCTCCTGCTGGATTACTACTTGATTAGCTACACTTTGAGGTGGTGAATACCTGTTACCAAAACATAACCTCAATTTTTACTCTTGTACCCACATTGAATGCCAAATAAACTATATAACTCATCGCATAAAGACGGCATGGCTATAATGGAGAGTTGCCACGGGAGAGCTATGTGACAAGAAGGTCCAGCTAAAACTGGAAGACAAATTTTACAGGGTATATATGCGTTAGACCAACTTTGTTGTATATTTGTATCTCTTTCTCACACTTTTCACAAGCCGACAACAACCGCTCTACTCTTTGAGGTAGAGGTCAGGGCGTCAGGCCTATGTACGTCTTACCCTCCACAGACCCCACCTCTGAGCAGGAGATACTGGGATTGTTTGGTTTGATTTAGTTTTATGTGATTTACATATTACCAAAAGCAACTCAATGTGATTTACCTTGTTAATGGCTTAGGTGTGGCCGGTGGTGGTACCACAGACCGATCTTCAGGGCATTGAGATGGCGGAACTTGCAATTGGTTAGGCTCCAAGGTGAAACCAAGAGCATCTAGTTTGTTATCATGGCATATACCAGTCTGCAGCAGCGTTTTGTTATCATCTCTAATTCTCTTCCCCTGAAGCATCACACCTACATGTAGCTCACCACTAAATATAGCAGTCACAGCCTCCATAACAGTCCTCTATAATAAAAAAATTCAATATAAAGCAACCGTTAGCTATAAATAGAGATCCGGGGTTCAATACATACAATTAGATCGACAAATATACACCTTTAGAGAACTAACAGTTGCTGTTTCTGGTATTTCAATGAAAAGCTCGGGTACCCTGAAAGACTTGATCTTGAGCTTCACTGAATTAAAAACAAAAACATCTATCAGTTTCGATATAGAAGAGTAGATATTAATAACACCATCAAAAGGCTTTCCGTTACCATGTGAATCCTGAGCTTGAAAGGCAGGATCTTCGGCGGCACCCAAACTGGAATCATCTTCAATAGAGCCTTTTCTAGGTGAACCAGATCTGTTATCGGAATTGGAAGGATTCTCTAACTGGTACAGTCTTCGCTTTTTGAACGGATAATCCCTTAAAGATCTTTGATGCTTATAGCAAGTTTTCTTGCTATGATACGACACAGGCTTCAAGTCTGCATCTGAAAACGACATTAAAACATTTGAATTCAAGAAACCGTAGAAGTTACACACTATTATATCACATTTTGAATCATTATCACTCACCAGTGTTGAAATGCACGCCATTGTTAAGTTTTGGAGCGACTTTCCACTGTTTGGATGCCAATAACCTCCTAATTCTTCGGTCACCAATACGTGATGGTGGCCTAAAGGTCTTGTTATTTAAGGCCTGGGGCTGAGTGCACCAGGAAGAGTTTTCGTCATCATCTCTAACAACTAAATTTACATTACTATCTAAATTATTGACAACCGGAGGTTTCCCATTGTTGGGTGCCTCATATGTCATCTGTTTATCGTTTATATCCTCTATTTTACAACCAACATTTTCACCATTTAAAGATCTTGAAGCAGATGGAACCTTATCTGAACAATCAGAAACCGTAATACCAGAAGCAGGTCCAGAACAAGTATCAGTAACCAAAGCTTTTGGGATAATCTCCGACACAAAGAAGCTTTTATTGCAGCTTTCCTGATCACAATCATTTGCTTTTGAAGAGTCTTCTTCCGTCTTAACTGTAGTCTCCTTGACGGTTTCTTCTCGACTTAACTTATTATCAGCAGAATTATTACCCTCCAGTAATAACTTGCCAGCAATGGTGGCCAGCAAGTCGAAAGCGTACATTTGATTATGATCCTCATTCTTCTTCACCCTTTTCTGAAACAAGTAGCGTAAAGAAGAAACCGTTAAAAGATTTGTACTTTTGGAAACAAGTGATGTCAAAACGGAAATTCTAGAAAACTCTAGACATTTACCCTGGCTGATCTTGGAGCCCGAGGGGTTGGAGGCACCTGATAACCATTGAATCCATATTCTAACCTTTTCTGCAACACCATATCTTGGTATCAAGAAACTTATCAATCACTTCACACCATCTTCTTTTGATCTTCTTAAAAGTCTACAAAGATTCAACACAAGAAGAAAAACCGATGAGAACAATCTACAGACTAAAAAAACTAGAAGAATCGCATAACGACAAAGCATTATGGAATAAAAAGTCAAATCTATGATGATTCGCAAATGATAAATAAACAATGAACACAGAAGCCGACAAACGAAAATTTGACAAACAAGATACTAGAATTACTACATTGCATGCTATAAACCAATTGAACAAAGATCAATAACCCTGGTTTTCATGTTCTTTATTTAAGATCCTTGTGATCTTAATTGTGCAGCCTAACATAAATCCACAAAGATTTGAAGACAGAAGGAACCCAAAAATTATGTCAATGAAGGAATTCAAAATCCCAAATATACTATTGAAGCATTGTTAAATATTATCTTAGCATCTAGATTTCTGAAAAAAGTTGTAAATTCAGATCAACGTAGTAAAGCATTGGTTAAAATAAAGCATGAATCTGACACAATTCATGAAAAGTAGGGCACACCACCATCCACCAATCTCCATAGAAACATCAAGCACATCCAAGATTTAAGAAGCAAGTACGAATCTGACACACAATTCTGAAAAGGTAGCGCACAACATCAATCTCCATAGAAACAACAAGCAATCACAAGATTTGATGGAACTTCATATACATAAAAAGCTTAAAAACAAAAAAAAAAACGGATATGGAAAAAGAATCTAAAGTTGAAATTGAAAAGGGATTTGAATTTGGAAGATGGGGGAAGGAGGATTGAGAAAATGAGAAGAGGATAAAGAATTCAAACAACCCTCCCCCACAAACAAAAAACCCAGAAAAAAAAAAGATGCCCAAAGATCTGTATGAAAACACAAATATAATAATTTGTCGATGTTATATGTTATCTACTATATATAGAGATATTCTCTACAATCTAAAACCCAAAAGCAGATCAATCTAGAAACAGACTCCATGATCGTCAAACCTACCCACCAAAATAGAAAATGAAAAAAACAAGAAAGTTAGAAGGATCTTACAAAATTACGGAAAATTGCTACCAGATAAACATAGTTTAGGCATAATACGATCAGATCGAACCCATCAAAATCAAAATTCAGAACAAAAACAAAACCGAAAAAACATTAAAACATACGATAATGCTTGTTTGGTTGTCATAAATTTGGAGGGAAATTCAACAAATTCTCAACAAAAATAACATTTGATCAAGAAAAGGAACAAATCAGAACTTTGAAACTTTACAACAAAGCAACAAACCAATTCAATTTCGAAAATCTTCTCTCACCTCTAATAAACCCGCGATTTTCCCAAGAATTCACCAAACAATTTCTTCAAGATCCCGATTTCCTGATGGAAATTTCCTCCGTGCTAAGAAATGTTAGATTGGATAATCGAAAGCCCAAAAGCCCGAATCACAAAGTCGTGATCGATCAAGCAAAACCCATGATTTGTTTCCCCTTCCTTGATAACCCCATTAAGGACCAATGTTGTTTGATTTGTTTGAGACGCAACCTCTTCTTGATTTTCTCTCTCTTGGTTCACTTTCTCTATCTAGAAATTCTTGAAAGATGATGAATATGAGTTGAGAGATGAGGATGAAAAACAAAAACCCTCTGAAAACCACCCAACCATTGGCTTAAACCCCCAACTGTTTATACTCATTGACCCTTGTTACCGGATGGATCGGTAAAAGACTCGAGTATTACCGGCTACAGCAGGTTACACACACCTCGGCATCCTGTAAGACCGGTTCTACGCTACGAGGTGGCCCACACACTCTCCTAGATGTCTCCACGTGGAAAGCTGTCTGTAATCCAGTGGTGCTAACACCATTAGCCAGATCGAAAAAAACGTTGGGTCACCAAGAGAGCAGGGGTAGAGCCGTAATTTCATTTTTTGTTTCTAAATTTATTTTTTCGGACATCCATTTGAATTTATTTTCCTAAATTTAGATAAATCATTGACAAAAGTCTCCTTATTTCTCTCCTTTATGCTTATAAAACAATTTTACTAACAATAAATAAAAATAATTTATTTTGTGTATTGTTTTTCAAAATTTTAATATAAATTGAAGATAAACGAATAATATTTTTTTTATAAACAAATATTATAAGGTATTTTATCGTATTTAGGAGTTTTAAATCACATAATAATAACAAATATTACAAATTTTTGTTTTGAAATATTCTTCGAAGCTTTCTTCCAAATAGAGGATAAGGAGAATGATGATAAAATCTTCAAATTTAGAGAACTCTTAAAAAATGATTGTTTATGAAGAAAAAAAATTATTAGTATCACCAATTATAATTTTTGAAATTAAATGTTAAAGAAAAAAAAAATATTTTATTAAATATATTGAATTTACTAATAATATAATTAATGATTTAATCTTTTTTTTGGGAGAATTTTGATTTTATTTCTTTATTTTGAAGAATTTGTTGAAGATGTTTTTTTATAGTATCTCCAATAAATTCTTCATAATTTTGAAAAAAATTGTTGAGACCAATAGATGTTTTTAAAGTATTTCAAATTTCAAAATATATATATATATATATATATTATATAATTAAAATATTCAGTATCTTTAACAACTCAAACAAACGTTATATAAAATAATGATACATTTAATTGTATTACTGGTAATAATATAAAAACCATTTTTTTATTAACCTGAATATCCAACTCGTTATGCGAGCCGACTAATTCCAGGACGACTACTTGCTTTGCAGATAGCCCGGAGTCACTGCATTTGAACCTCGGTGGCCATAAAGAGATTTTTATTCCTCCTTGAATTTGAACATGTGACTTTCTGATAATTTTGATCTTTAGAACCAAACTCAAACCAATCAAGCACCACTCTTGTGGTTAAAAAAGATGCACCTAAACTTTAATGTCCTCATCATATAATTTAGTAGAGCACTCCAAATTTTGAAAAAAGTTTTGGATAAGTTGTTGAAGAAAAAACTTCAGAAATCTATTTTTTTTTTCCATTTAAAAAAATTATTTAAAGTTTTTCTTTGGCTTCTTTTTCAATGTTCCAATAATTCCTCCGGATTTTGAGAAATTTTTGTTCAAGTTTTTTTAACTACAACAATTTATTCAATACTTTGTTCAAAATATTGGAATATTTTATTTCAAAGAAAAAAATAGTTATCTCAAGGAATTTGAGTGAAAATTTCTTTAAATTTAGATAAACAGTCAAAATTACTTTCAACCTACCAATAAAATTAAATGAAGAGAGAGAATAAATTTTTTATACCCATAATATTTTAATAATATAATAAATAATGGAATCTCTAAAATTAAAAATTTGTTAAAGTTATATATATATATATATATATATATATATTAATTTGACTTTTACATTTTTTTAAATAATTTATGAAAAACTGTTGAATATACTGAAAATATATAAATACATGGTCTTTATGATAATCATATCAATAAAGGAGGTCAAAAATGTTATTGGCAAGAAAAAATGCCATGTAGGATAAAGTGTAGGATCCTACGTGGCAGGAAAACGACCCACTATTGGATCCTTTATGCTTTAGTATTATCCTTTATTTTTTCTTCATAAAAGGACTCTGTATGACGGCGATAAGGATTTAACGGAGGAGAAAGAGTTACACGTGCTGAGAACATAGGCTAAGATAAAGCCAACGCCCGTTAACTGATATAAAAGGCATAAATTCATTGTTGACTGAAAAGTAAAAAATATTCAAAAAAAGTAAAAAATCAAAAAATCAACTAAAAATAATAATTAATTAATATTTATTTAGGAATGGAAAGAGATTGACATGGATTTATTCATTTAAAATAACTAAAATAGTACTCGTACAATATAATGAGATAGATTTCGATTTTAATGTTTTATTTTATTTTTTGTCTTTGTCGATGTTATAATACGATTTTATGTGTTTTTAAAAAGGCAATAATGATTTTATTTT